GGCCACGCTTATTTGACCATGGTTACTTGGCTGAGACCACGGCTACTGGATCTACGTTTACTGGGCCACGGTTGCTGGGCCATGGTTACTTGGCTGGGACCACGGTTACGAGATCTACGGTTACTGGGCCACGGTTTCTTGGCTGGGGCCCCGGTTACTGGATCCTGGCTGGGGTGCCGCCCAATTCCAAGAAAGCCGGGCGGTCCGCGGCACACAGCAGGAGCAGCAGCAGCAGATGCTTAGACGACCGGGCGACCAGCCGCCATACACGCATGCTACGTTTTGTGAAGGGGCCATTGAGAAACAGTAGCCAGAGTCCGACGTTTGTGAACAGATCAATGGGATCCAGGAAACAGGGACTTGTGTTTGGGGAAGAATCGACCGGAACCAGGATGCGGGGTTTCGTTTTCACAAAGGTGAGGGAGCCAGACACCAATACTGGGAACCAGACACATGCCTGATTAAGTTGTGATAGATTGTGTAGGTCAGATTTGATTCGAATGTCTTTCCATGCGAGTTTCGTTGGGTTTCAGCTCCGCCAAGCTCGTTCAATAGGTTGCATAGGATTTAGAACCGGTCACTAACACTTTAGATAGACCCGCAGTCCACGGCTACGATGAATTACAGCTCCAATGTGATCTCACAAAAAAGCTTAGTGACTATCGTTGGTCTTCCACCGCAGCGTATTGGCCTAACAAGCTGCACAGGTGAATCAACGCCAGGGTAAAGCTGCGCCCCTTTGGATCAGTGTTACGGCCGATGCTTGCACCATTATCTCGGAGCAAAAAGACAACTCCATGCACGAGGAGGGTACCGAACGAATCATAGTATCTTAATGTAATTTGGGGTATATTCTACCAAAACTGTGTGCAGGCCAAACCCCTTCGCATTATTGTGATGAGATTGGCATCTTCGTTAAAGCGGCGTCGACATGACAAAAACAGCACAGAACTCAGTTTGAAATTAAAAAGCCATCTATGGCTTCCCCATTTTTACGAAACGTTGTTGTCGTGTATGGCTGCAATCTTATTTATTATATTTTTATTTGTTACAAGCATATTTTTAGTATCTTTTTACTGTATTTTATATTATATTTTTATTTATTATATTTTTCGACCGTCCCATGCAGCCAGTCGCAGCTGTAGCGCATATTCTGTAGCACAAAAACAAAGTCTCGTGTTATCCCAAACGATGGCGATCGTGCACGCGATGATACTGGCATCGGGTGTCAAACTGTATCACCAAAGGACCTTTCACGTGCATGGTATCCATGTCCGGTATGCGGCGGGCGCTCGGACGGGCGCGGGCGCTGGCCACCTGTTGTTTACACTAGCAGCACATAATAACAGAGTGGAGAATGGAGCTGCCGCATCTGATGGTAAGTAGGACCTAACACTCACAGACCTGACTCATTTGTCAAATTTGAAGCGGGTTGCACTCAGCGCTGCACCCGCCCAGTTGCACCCACTCCAGTCAAAACGTCGTGGAGTGACCACAATGCATCTAGCGTTGGCCTAAAGATGACGTGAAATATACTTATCGACAGCGCCAGGGATGAAAGGGCGCCTTTTCCGTCACGAGCAAATTTGGAACCGTCTAAATTGTCACCTGGGGCCAAATCTTTCAAGAAACCGTTGCATTATAATTCTACTTGCGATAAATCACAAAAACAAAGATAAATGTAATGCAACGCGGCATAGCCGTCAGGCATTTTCATTTCGGGTAGTCATTCGCACTAAAGTATCATTTACTGGCCATCAAACACCGAATGATGATTGAGACTAAACCAATTAAATTATCAGATGAAGTCGTACTTAATAGAACCAGCCTAGAGGCGTATAATTCCTTTTTTGTTATTGGAGAGGGATTATGCATCCTAACCAGGCGTGCAGTTTCCTATTTTTGGAAATCGCTTTTTAACCATTATTTTCCATCATGATTTTTAGAGTTCAGCCCTGCAAAACTAATTTTGAGATACTGCACCTTGTCCCCAACTGTGAACAGACAGTGCGTCAGATCTTGGGAGAAAACTGTTTAAGTGCATTTCGGAGGCAGGTGTAGCCCTTTTTTCTTTCTGCCACACCCCCTCCCAGCTCTCTCTCACTCACCCCTACGTATTTTGCAAACTGCATCCCTATAGCCCTACATTTACCGATAGCATGGTTGTACAAGCACCGGAAAATATCACTTAAGGTTATGTGACGTCGTACAATGAACTAGAAAAAGACGCTGGCGACCTTCACCATCTTAGCATGATTAGTACCGGTGCAGAACTCGCACGTGATCCCAATTATCTGGAGCAAAACCCATGCAAAGTTTGTATCAACAGACGCAAATAACATTTTTGAACCACTCTAGCGCCTTCATTTGGCTTTATATGCAGTTTGACGACCATAAAAAGCTTTTATCTCCCGCCTGTCCACCGATTAGCACGCTAAGTCTGTCGTGCCACAGGGAGTATGAGAGGCCTACACCAGCGATGCTCGACTTCATATCTCAAGCTGCTGCCCCTCACAGCAGCAGGAAGCCCTAGATGAATCCTTGACACGTGTCGCTTCAAAGTCATCTGTTGGTCTCTGAAGCCACAGCTCAGGTGTCCACAAACAATAACCCTCGTAGACTGGCAGGGCTTTTTAAACTTATCATATTTTTTTAGAAAACTGACATTAGATACGTTCTTCCAGCCAGTCAGCTTCTCACCACATGAACACAATCAACAGCAGCCCATAGCCTTGCAATGAACCCAACGCATTACCGCACGGCCAGCATTCAAGCTCATCTGTCCGAAATGGCACGACGCTTTAAAACGCTGCACAGCAAACTGATCACGTTCGTCGCAAGATGCTGTGGCCAGCAACGATTTTCAGGACTAGTAATAAGCCTAATTATTTGGTACTTATGCTGTTTAGTACGCGTGGTGAATTTTGGCTCAAACATCTGTGAAAAGCACTGATCTGAGGGATATTGAAGGAGCACTTTGTCATCACTGATCTGTGACGTCGGCCGCTGATAAACTATAGTTAACAGTATGTTTCTGTCACTTGCAAAAAATGTCCCGATTAAAACTACTATGTTTGACAGCATCTCATGGCTCAACCTGCTCATACCGCGAAACGCCAACGTTCCGACATGTGCTCTGCACATGCTCACGCTGCAGGCGTTAGCGCGTGCAGACGAATACTAAGCCTTGAGCTCCGTCGGGCTGGGATGGTCTGTTGCATGTGGTCCGGTGTATTGCAATTTGTTTGCATTTTCGCAATTTGTCATCGATTGGCTCTCAAAAGTGTTGGTTTTTTGTCACCGGCCATATCCGGTGAATCGGAAGTTTTTTTCACCCCTGGGCAACGCTGACCACGGTATCCCCCTGACCAAGCTGCATGGCACGGCATCAACACGTGATGGTTTCAAAGTTACCTCGATGGACGGCGGCCGGTGGCGAGACGTGGCTCACTATTCCTTCCCTTGTCCCATGGTGTCCCTCCGGGGTCCCCGGTGAGTCCGACCCTTTTCACCATCTTCACAAACGACCTTCCATCGTACCTGCCCCACGGGCACGGTTTCCTATGCCGACGATGCCAACTTCTCGGCTCAGCCCACCCCAATCACTGGTCCACCTATAAAATGTCGACAGGAGAAAACCCTCCTTGCCCTCCATTCCCCACTTCACTGCCAATGCCCTGAAGGTGGACCCTGCCAAGACCACATTTCTTCTAGTCGGCGCACCCCAGTCCGTGAAAAAGCTCATCCTCCCATCGTAACATGTCCAATCTAATATTAATCCCACCCCCCCCCCCTCCCCCCTCTCACGTGAAGATGCTGGAAATGACAGTCGTCGTGCCCTATCCTAGGAGAACCACATATCCAAATCAGGCAAACGTGCTACTCCATCCTATTTCGTCCATACAAATTCATCACCTCACACCTGGAGTTCGCAAGCACCTTATCTTGACCATCTTTTTCCCCATATCCTACACCGCCTCTCAGCCCAGGGCAGGACTGCCGCCTGCTGTCTCTATTGGGTACAAAAAGTCGTGACTTTCGTGGCCAGGATCGTTTCGGGAGCGCAGAGTCGAGATCACATTCCGCCAGCCTCAAGGTCGCTGGCCTGGCGCGGCACGAGTGACCTTGTTACGCGCCGCGGCCACATAAACGTCTTTAGGGCCCTACACGGCCCCCGTGCCACGGTGGTGGTCCGGCCGCTGTTCCGCTCCCGAGCCGCTGTGAGTGAGCGCATCAAGAGGTCGGTAGTGGCCGGAGCTATGGAGCTGCCCCGCTCTCCGACTGTCTGGCCTTGGGGCTGGATGATTTCATCGACGGACGATTGACGGGAGATTGCTTGGCTCTAGCAGCGTCCGGCTATTGTCATTATCCAAAGAAACGCAGCCTCAGTGGCATTAAATTTTTAGTCCCTGACCAAAATGCCAGAACCAACGGAGTCATGGTCCCGCCAAACCCGCCATGCCCATAACCACCTGCAGTCCCACTAGCTTATCTTTGTGCTTATCTATCTTTGTGCTTTGTGCTTATCTTAGCTTATATCTTTGTGCTTGCCAATTTTATGGCTTCCTGGTTTCTACTAGTTTCTTTATAAAGCTAGAACCTAGTCCCTGGCTCCCATTGGCTTTCCACAAACACCACGGTTGCCACCAAGTCCTTCATCCGGTGTCTAAATCTCTGTCGACGTTTACTTTATTCCTTTGATTCTTCTCTGACTTGACTGTCACGCCAGTCTTTCGACTTTTGGGTTTAGATTTTTACCCCGTTGATTTTTACACCCTTTCACTTTTCTGACTACTTTTTATTCTTATCGACCTATATCCTTGTCGACTTTTTGGGGTTCGACTTTGTTGTTTGACTATTCCATTCGACTTTCTGTCCGTACAGCGCGCTTAGCGCCCAACGGAGCGCGTCGGTGCTGCCGCCAGACGGCCACATAGCCAACTATCGACGTTCGCTCGTGCAGCGGGTCGCCGCGTGGGACTGTGCCAGTGCGAGGCGGTGGTCGGCGGCGGCAGCTGTGGGTGGTGGGCGCGTGTGACGCGGCTTGGTACAGTCGTTTGCGAGTGCCGGGGACGACAGCGCGTGGTGGAAAGGACGCCGCCACTTGCCCGCACGTGAGTGCTCGTGTCTGCGCGTCGTGTGAGCGCAACCGGTCCCTCACGTGGCCGCTATTTTTGACCGGTCGTGAGCGGCCCGAGCGAGGCAGTGAGGCTAGCCTGCGGGCGTGGGCGTGGGGTGGCGGTGGCACCCCTATTTCGGCGCCTACCAAGGTCAGTCGCGCTCAAAGACGTGTGGGGACGGGCACGGGACTAGCGTAGCAACTGTCCACAATTGAAAGAACTTCAGCAGGATGTTTGTTTCGTCTGTTCATGAAAGGCCACGTCATCCTCTGCCCGCCCCCCCCCCCCCCCCCACCTCAAGGCTTAAGGGCCCCGTCCTTGAATTCCGTACTCGCGTGGCTCAGGTGGTCGAGCGGCAGCCAGCCCCGCCTCCCACAACCAGCGGCGGCTACCTGTGGCTTCCCTAGCCGTCGGTGCACGCCGGGACACACTGCTGTGCTACCTCTTGACACGGGGGGAATGATTAACCTGTTTGGCTCCCGCGTTTGGTGCACAACAGGTGGAGACCCGTTTTTACTTCGTGCATGATCGCATGTGACATACCGTTACGGCCTTGGCCGCATCGCCTCATTCAAACAAATGACGCGCGCCGGCTATCTTCGCTTCCTCTCATTAGTCGACAGCAGAGCAGAGGCGACAGCAGACCGTTTAAGCTGGCGATGGCGTATATGATAACGGCCACGACAGCTGCATGACGCTATACTTTCATCTTTACGTGATGCATTGGCATGGAAAGCTCATTAAACCCGTTCATTTTATCAGGCTCATGGTTTGCCCCTGCCCCGGGCCAGGGCTTGAACCATCCTGACAGCCTGGTCGTTCAGAGCTTACAATAGGCCGCATTCCCCCCACCTAGATGAGCATATTAATACATTACCATGGCATTACTTGCAGGTGAACTCAATCTCCAATGCTGCAAATCGGAACTGACAACAGCGAATCATGATTGTCGAGCGCAATAATGTGTTAAGCTTCCATTGTGACAAGCATAAGCTCTCCTCATCGTTCGACTAAGATGAGAGTGAGACTGAGAGATTAAACCAAGTGAGATTAAACCTTCTGGAATCCGGAAGCGGATTTCAATTGGCAAAGGTAAATCGTTTGAACGCGGTTAACGAAAGCTGCCTTAAGCAGACGGCCAGCCGGTCGGACAGGTTGACGTCGCATGGCAGAAACCATAATTGGCAAGGACTAGCAGCAACTGGCAACAATGAAATGCTTCCAAGATGTTTAGTTTTAACTACAAGTCTTCCTACCATTTTAGATCACTGCCAGGACCAGGGTCGGAGTTAAGTTGGGCCCCATGCCCGTTCACGGACTGGCAAACTACAATCGCTGTGCCAATGGCACTAAAACTAAGCGTTGCAAGCAGAAATTGGGGGTGTTATCCGTAATCTTGAAACCACGACCCGTGGTCCATTGGGAAGAGCGCGATAACTACCGTGTTATTGGAACTTTGAGGGGGAGGGGCTCGGGTCCCGAATTTGGGAATACTTTGGCGCCGGGTTCATACCGGTGCATGACAAGAAACGATCCCAAGTGCCAAGTGCCCTGCCCCGCCCCTTTGGATACGTTCTCGCCATGCATGCGAGGTTCCCGCCCCCTGCGTCGATCTGTTAATGTATCTGTGTTCTATCCGGCCCGTCAGGGCTGGTGACTGCTCTCAATAAGTATGTGGGGAGTGGGGGGGGGTAAAAGGGACAGGAGCAGGCGGTGGCGTAGTTTCACAATAATTTTTTTTTTGGGGGGGGGGGCTGAACGGTGAGAATGAGCCAAACTTCCTATGAAATATAAAAGCAGGTTTCTTTATATTTGGCCCACTTTATTCTCAAAGTGTGGGGGAGGCTAGCGCCCATTTTAGCGGGCTGGGCGGGGGATTGAAGCCTCCCAACTGAAAAGGAAACTGCCATCCCTGGAGAATAGAGAGCCAGAGGCAACCGGACCCAGGAGCACTGGACCACTCGGCCCAGTTCAACGGGAACGCCCCCCACCACCAGTCAATTTGGCATCTCGGGTTTGGGACCATTTATGTAAGAAGTCCCTTCGATATTGGTTTTAAAAGTAGAGGCCTTTTGGGAAAGACGGTTGGTAGTCAGGCGCCTCGACTCCTTGAGCTACGGGTCAGACTGGTGTCATGTACGGCGAATCATGAGTATCCTTAGGGCTGTAAGAAAAATACATAATTTTTCACGGCCCCTCTGGATGCAGGATGGAAATGTTCAGACGAACATCGATTGGTTGTGTCAATACAACTTTTAACCTCGTTTCGGTCCATAACCTACATTCAATCGGTGGGTCTCAACAATATATATATATATATATATATTATATACTATATATATATATATATATATATATATATATTAACCCCGACGAGGTCCAGCACAGCCATATATGCTATTGGTTTGGAGAGAGTCCGCTGGCTCATTGCAAAAGATATAACGTCGTCGGTTTATTCTATGGATTTCTTATGGCCCGGTTTCTTGATTTGTTGACTTTAGCCTACAAACTGAATTACATCTTCCCGTGACTTTTGGCTTCTGCTTCAGTAAAGGCCATGATCAAAAAATAAATGAGGAAAATGGGACCCCCTTGAAACCAAGTGCACTAATCCGGAGGTCGGGGAGGGCTGCCCACCCCTGTGTTCCCTCTTTACTAAGGCTCTAGCGCGCCCCTGGCTGTGGTATGACCATAAAGTTATCTGAATTATTATTCCGGCGTAAGACAGCTTTTCAGCTCGTAACATTTTTCACGGCCATTTTTTCTTCGCGCTTTATGAGCCGAAAAATAATCGGTCCCCTGAGACTTGACCCCCCCCCCCCCGCCTGAACACTCCGAGATTGTAGGTTACTGGGCCCAGGGGGTCTGGATCTTCTGGCTCTCACGAGATCTCCAGCCATGCCACCCTTGGCGGGGGTGATGGTTCGGGTTGTTATGCGCTGTTATTTGCCCCTGACTGGGTGGTCAGTGGCTGCGGGCGGTCCACGTCAGGTGAGGGAGGTCACATGTGGACCGTGCCAAGCACTGCGACACCTCAAAGTTTCGCCTCAAGATGCTGCCCATTTCACGGGAATTTCACGATGGATGTCGTGAATGGTGCAATCGGGTGGTCGTTTGGTCGTACACAACAGGCACTGCAAGGTGTGAGCGCTGAGTCGGGATGTCGATTGAATCAAAAATTTCGACCAAATCTGTGTTCTACAAATGGGGAATGTACATTTTGTGTAAGGTGACTGCATTCAAGTGCAGGCTGAGCGGATAAGATTGATCACTAAAGGTTTGCTGACCGCGGATTTCATTCCCAAAGAGTGCCCGATTCCAGCAGCGTACAGAACGACCAATTACAGTCATACTGGAGCATTGAGTTCAAAGGGTTGCAACACGAAATCTTCTATGACATCCGAGTGACTTCCTTCTTCTGTGCCAGACTAAAATGCGTTAAGCGCACCCATTAAGTCGTCTTTCTACACATGAGGCGTCACTGCATTCATGCGCACCTTCGGCAATGCTCCTTGGTCTTGACCCGGCATCTGCCCAGTGAACGGCGCATAAATGATAATACATTCAGACGCGCGGTAAGCTGGTTGACAGCAATTTACTGGTATATTAGCGGTGGATCAGCGAAGATGATTAGGGAAAAACTAACCCTTTTGGCCGACTTTTCCAGCAAAAGAGAACTGCATTTTACGCCGCCCAAAGTCAGGAACAATCGTGGAGCGTGACATATTCCCTACGACCATTCCTCCCTCCGTATCGTTCCCTTAAACATGTTGCGGTGTGGTAGTTGTTTCGTAGTGTCTTAAAGTGGATTTATACTGGTAGACATTTTCTTTCCCATGGTTCAAGTTGCGATGTCGGATGTCCAGTGTTTAATGTAAAATTTGTACAATCTGATTTGTGCGCGTGATATTTCTAGTGTGCATGCGTGAGTTTTTCACAGTATTTTAGAGCTAGCCGACCATTACTGAACAGTCAGCTGATTTATACATGTTGCCTTGATGAATGCTGCAGTCCCTGGCTATCGTTTGCCATTGAGATTGGACGTGGTCCGGCAAGGTTTCGCGAGCAGTTGTTTGATAATCTATCACGAAGACCCACAATATGGGTATCACCAGGTGCGTTATACAACTAGGTGTACTAGCATGTGTCAGTGTGCCTGCATGAACTAAAAAGTTCTTAAATTGTCGACCTTGAATGTAACTCCATTCAACAATGAAAACCCGTTTTGCTCGGCATGCAATTAGGTGTTGTGGACTGTTATGCAGTAGGTATCTCTTCCTGCATGCATGTCATTATGCCTTCACGAACTAAATAGTGTCCTAATTTATCGGTCTTCATGTGTGTAATTCCATTCAACAACGAAAAGTCCTGTTCGCTCGTATGCAATGAAGTGTTGCACGCTGTTGCGGAGCAATTAGCCGTTTGTTGCATTTTCAGCTAATTTTGTTCTAATTGGTTGCAATGTTATTACGGCGCAGTGTCGATTAATCTGTCGCAACTTTGTCTTAAATACCGTCAGGAAAAGTGGGCGTTTATGTTCAGGGACGGATCCGGGAATGGACCTGGTCTCATTTGGGATCCGTATGGGGCCTCCGCAGGGGGCAAAACGTTTTGGGGTCTGCCTGTCCGCACACAATGAGAAGGACCGCACAAAATTCGATGGCCCAAGCACATTGCCAGACCTAAAAGCAGCGCCCTTTTATGTAGGAGGAGTAACAGAAGTGTCAGATGGCCCTTATGGGCAATCGCTAGGGGTCCCTCGGTGCATCGGATTTCTCCAACATGCATGAGTGAATAGGAACAAGATTGTCTCGATTACCCAAAAGTACCAGGAACAATCCCAGAATATCAGAGTTCATGCCCAGAAGCATCAGGGTGCCCCAAAAGCACGATGTTGCCATAAGTATTATGGAGCTCCAGACATCACAGGACCCCAAAACATCAGAGGTCCTCAGAAACACCAGGATATCCTCAATATGTCACGACCCAGAACATCGTGGGGCGAGAAGCTTGAGGCGACTGCGGAAGCATCAGGAGCCCGAAAAGGTTTAGGACCCCAAGGCACGAGGACCCCCAAGTTAGATCATGAGACGGGGGACGGAGGAGGGGGTCATGGGTATGATGCCCGCCCAGTCCCACAAGCCACGAGGCTTACACAAGATAGACAGATTCTGCAAGAATTCGTCCAAATTCGCGTGGTTCAGAGAAACTTCGATCTCCTCCCCCGCGCCCTGGGAAAATTCTGGCTACGAACCTGCAAGGACGCCTAAATCATTAGGGCCTCAGAAACATGAGATGAACCTGAGAAGTTTTGGAATCCAAGCAACACAAGAAAGCCGGGGAGACATGCTGGGCCTCGGAAACCTGCTTCCTTTCGCATAAGTGATCTAAAACACCGACGACATGATCGGACGAAGCCAACTGACAACGGCCCGCATCAGAAGGCATGACGCGGAACCACATCTGATTGCGCGCGCATACTAGTTTCTGTCGTGTGTGTGGTGTGGGGTGGGGGGGGGGGCGTATATGTATATGTGTGTGTGTTGTGAGTGTGTATGTGCGTGCATGTGGGCATGTGCGCATGTGTGTGCATGTGTGTGTATATTAGAATGTTATAATTTGTTACCATTAGATGTTTGGCGTTTAATGTGTTGACACCGAGCGCCTTATGCGGTACAGTCGATGCACATATCCATTACTTGTACTCTTCTTTAATTTATTATACTGATATTGTTGTGGCTACCAAAATTATATTGGAAAGTGGGGACTCCAGCAGTCATATTTTTTAACGCAGTTTCACTCGCGAAATTAAACCATTTTTCGACCTGGCTGTACGCCCCCCCCCCCCCCATCCCGGGAGTCGTCGCTGACCGCGATGTGGCTTCACAATATTGAGCGAATGTGCAGATGGGATGAAAAGGAAACACAAGACTCCAAAGCAGTCTCCCGAACAGTTGGAATTATTATGGCCATAATTGGCCTGTAATATGCCAGGTGGTTAAGCGACGTTGTCCTGAAGGCATTGGCTATTTTGACAAAAACCAGACATTTCAAGCTGTTCACTATCACAAGGTCATGGACGCAGCTTGAAGCGTCAGATTCTGTCAGTGCAGTTGTGTCTTCCCTAACGAGGTCGCTTAACCAGGACGTGCTGGTAAAGTGAGGGCCGATTAGTGTCAGAACGGGAACTCCCGACCCGCAGTACTGTAAAACCAAGAGCTCAAGTCCTCTCATAATAATATCAAATCTCGCTAAGTTTAGAAATATTAGTCGGGAAGCATGTGAAGTTGCTTAGAATCACACGTTTATGAAAATTTGGCAGCGCCCAACACGCTCCCATCCGATTTTGGCCTTTGGCGACCCCTGGGTCACGATGCACCTGAACCCGATCTTCACACTTGCTCGCCCCCTGTATGTGGACCAGTATGCGCGGATTGGCGAGCTTTTTATTAATTCACCGGAAAGGGGGTTTCAAAATACCGTCAGCAGTGGACGGTTTTGCCCAATCGATCTTCAGCGGCTGGAATCATGTTATGCTGTATCCTGTCTCCCTCGCGTTCGGTTTGGGAGTCGACCCGCGCGCCGAAAGGCGTTCTTGTTTTGAAGAATCCCCATTGGAGGGGCTGCTCCAAAATACTCGATGTTTTAACATGCGAGTCTTTTGATACTACTTGGTGCTCTTCTGTTGTGCTCTGAACCGAAAATCGATTGACTGCTTAGTTATACTGTGCTAATGCCGGGTCAAGATGTCTTAGGCTCCTCCAATATTCATGTTTTAGGTTTCTCTATTATTCAAAATATGATGCTAGCAGCTAATAAAAACAGTTCAGGAACATATTCTTGTACAGTGGACACGTGGACACATAAAGGCAAGACGTTTGCAAACACGCACTGAAAATGAGAAGGAACACAAGCTAGTGATTATGGTGCTCATCGTGATTTCGCTCTGCTGATTGACCCCACCCACCCAAACGAAAGGAGTTATCAAAGGAACGTGACGGCCCGATGAAAACACATTCCAATTTTGGAGAGAATGCTGCTTGCCTGTTCCATTGATCCGATAGATCACACTTGGTCTATTCCATGGAATCAATGCACAGTGACACCTATCGCATTTCCCGTGATTTATGATTTTGTGTGGGGGTAAGGCATGGACGTATGCACTGTATGGACTGCGTTCGGCAACCTCGCTGTGATGCATTCGCAGTCCAAATGACTGGTCTGATGTTATGCTGCATTTGTTTTTGCCAGAGTCTGAAGGCCTCACCAACCGAGCACGATGGCTCCTGTGGACGGCTTCTGGGGCCAGCCCACATCAACACTCGACTGGTGTGAAGCCAACTACGTGGTCAGCAGCTACATCGCCGAGTTCTGTGAGTCTTCATCGCGGCTTCATAATGTGACAAATAGTGGTTTGTAGATTATCCGTTTTGTGGACTTGACACACTTGCGTGCGTTCTGTGACAGCAATCATTGAGACTCTGCGCATAGAAAAGGACTGGTGCATTCGAAAGTGGAGACAAACGCTTGGCAATTGAACACAAACAAATGAGCAGATGTTGGTTGCAACCTGCATGCAATATTAGGGGGGGGGGATTATGTAGCTGGATGCCATGCAGTGAGCCGTCGCTTATATGGCAGATTAATTGGGCACTTTTCAAAAAGACCGCACACGAGTCTAGTTATAGTAGTAGCCGCAACCAAGGCGACCAATAGCGGCTATAATGCCGATGATTGAATGGTTTAGTAATGAGAATAGCTTGTGGTCACGCCCGACCCAGCATCTGTTTTTGCACCAGTGGAGCGTCGTTTTGGCCTGATCTGATCAGGCAGAAGGCATGTTGATTACGATGATCGCGAGACTTGTGACAGATGGGTTTATGGTGTTTTGTTGGACGTCAGTTTTTTTAGTCGCATGAGCTCCGGAGGGGCAGATAAGGTGGGGGATTTATTGCAGTCCTTCGTCGAAGAATGCTGCTGGTGGGCCTGCCACAGTGCGTCCGTTGCGTTCTTCCGTTTTCGCTAACGTTGACGCGTGGGCTGTGCTGTCCCACCGTTTCGGTCGTTGTATTGAAAGTCATCGTTCCATGTTATGTCTCGCATCGCGGTCACCAGTGCGTGCAGCAGTTTCTTTCGCTGAAACCCCTCCGCCCCGCTCTTGCCAGGGAACACGGTCAGCAACCTGGCCATGATCCTGCCGCCGCTGTACGGCATATACGAGGTATGCCGACAGAAGTTTGAGATCCGGTTCGCCATCTGCTTTGTTCTTCTCCTTGGTGAGTGCTGTGTGTATTTGCGTTCTTTGGGAAGTGTCCGTTGCCCTGCCGCCGTCACCATGGTCGGCAACCGCACCTGGGCACCACCGATCTGCGCTCGCTCGCACGTCCTGAGCACTGGTCGCTCGCGGCCCGCTGCTGGGCAGCGATACTGGCGGCCATGCGAGGCGTGCTGCTGCGGTCCAAGTGGGCTCGTCGCGCCATTTGCTTCGTGGCTTGCGCCTCTTGGGATCTGCTTCAGCCACTCCTGCGAGCGGCGTTACAGGACTCCCAACTCCGAATGTCCTTGGTGGCGTAAACGGCCTCGAACAATAGGTGTACGATCGACCACGGATGGCGGAAGCAGGGTGTGTTTCTGTGTGCGTGTGCATGTGCGTGTGCGTGTGCGTGCGCGTGCGCGTGCGCGTGCGCGTGCGCGTGCGCGTGCGCGTGTGCGTGTGCGTGCGCGTGTGCGTGTGCGTGCGCGTGTGCGTGTGCGTGTGCGTGTGCGTGTGCGTGTGCGTGTGCGTGTGCGTGTGTGGGTGGTGTGGTGTGGTGTGTGTGTGTGTGTGTGTGTGGTGTGTGTGTGTGTGTGTGTGTGTGTGTGTGTGTGCGCGCGTGCGCGTGTGCGTGTGTGTGTGTGTTGGGGGAGCTCTACTTTGTGGGAAATGTAACATTCACCCTACAGCGTTTCGTAAAAAAACAAGGTAAAAATCTCCTTCCCCGCCGCCCAAGACATCAGGGAAGCTGTTGTTATTGTGTTTTGCGCCTTGTTTATTTGGGGCTCCCCCATGCACGCACAGGTATAAGGATATAATCGCAACAAATTGTTTTCAAACGTAAAGACGTATTTGGACAAAATATTTCTGCGTAAAGACATCCCAGTTTTCAGCAAATTACGATGAAATCACGTCTCGGAATTTATTTATGTGGTGTAAGAACCATCAGGGGTCAGGCGTACCTGGGGCTGGAACATAGATCCAACAACTTAGTGGGAGAGGCCGGATATGACCCTTGCCAACTCCATACCCGATGTGCCAAAGGAACAGTTCGAAAACTCCAAAAGTAGTTTCGTCACTAATCACTCGGTGTGCGTGGCATGCAACACAGCCCATATGGATATCAGTTGAAAGCTCGTCGCCCATCAACACGTTGGTGATATTTTTGCGTAGGTGGGAGATGCCGACGATTGCGTGTCAGTCAGTGACGACATTAAATTGTGTATATCTAGTCGACATGCGCATTGGTTGGCTAAAAGGCGCAATGACGCCTTTTAGCATAACATGACGAGCGCGGAACTGAACGGTTTTAATGCCACAAATGTACAGCGGATTATATTGTTCATCACCTACATATGCGGGTATTGCAATGTAGTCTAGCAATGTGAGCTTTTGTGTTGCTTTGTGAGGAAATGGCATTTGGAGGACTTAACGGGCTGTTTAAACCAACGGATGGCCGCATTGAATGGATTATGAGTTGGGCTGGTTACCTATTTTAATAAAATTACAGACACCTCATGAAATTTACACGAATCACAAAAATAAATAGTTTCCAAACATGTTTCGTTGTGACCACTCATCAAATATCTCTACAATTCACATCTAATGTGCTTGCGAAATTCAAACGGGTGGATCAGGAGTGGGGATATCTGAAGAGGACGGGTTATCGCATGGGTATGTGCACAGCCCATGGCAGCGCATGGGTATGTGCGCAGCCCATGGGTAGCGCATGGGTATGTGCGCAGCCCATGGATGGGTATGTGCACAGCTCATGAGCAGTGGATGGTTATGCGCACGGTCCATGGGTAGCGGGCGGATTAGTGAAAGGAGATCTTATTCGTGAATGCGTCTGATAGCAATGTTGTATTTTTGTGGTCACTTGGGCAATGTGTGTCAGTGTGATGATTCCTTCATATGTTCTTGCACCACAAACATTTATAGCGACAAATTCGGTCCACATGATAAAATGCATTACACACAGCACGCAAGTGCATGTATATTTTCACGCATGAGGTGCATCATTTCGCGTGGAAGCTTCGCAAGCATTTGATGCTGAAACACAATAATAAGTCGTTGGCGGCAGTTGCGTGACAGCGTGCACACGCTGACCCCTGAAGATGTTGACCAGCATGGTGCCACCTTTTATCAATATAAAGGTGCTGAGCGGCGCTGCGTTTCGACTGTTTTCGCGTGCCGCGTGGTGCGAAAACGCGCGTCCAATTCCTTTGCCATCTTCGATAGCCTCTTTTAGGCTGACAAAGAAGACTTATTTGTGCATCGATTTATCTTTTGGCACAAGACTCGAAACCGTGGTGCGAAGTAGCAAAAAAGCCAATTACATTAAAGCCCAAAAGTATCTCATGACGAATATTTGCAAAGTTAGCTCTGTTCTTGAACTACCTGAGCACCCGTCCCAAGAGCTGTGCAGTTTCTATAGACCAGGATGTAGGTTTTGTATCAAACGTGCCGATGCCGGCATTGAAGCAGATTTAACTGCTGCCACCACAGCTGGGTTGTCCACCCACCAGGGAGTCAGATACTACACGAAAGTTGTGGTAGCAATCCCTCGCTTAATGCACAAATGGAGGCAGCGAGCACTGAGTGTTGTGGCTCTGAGACCCCGCGCTGCCTTCGGTACAACGGATGTGAAATGTTCCGAACCCATGACCGGTCAGCGCCGTCTTTGACCGGAAGCAGGGTCACGCAACTAAATGCGTGACAGGGATTGTGCTTTGACCCCATGTGATGAAACGCCAGCTGGTCTTTTGCTTCGCTGAGCGAGGATTCAGACTCATATAGTGGAGAATATCAACGAAGGTGCACCGTTCAGCTGTAATACATTTCTTAAAAATGAATGATCCCGTGTATGCATTATCCTTCATGTTGTCTAGGGTAAACAGCTATTCGCTCACACATTCCTTCCGCTGATTTTCCTTGCACAAATGCGTCACGCAATGCCATTTTTTTCATTTCGCCGACACTTCTATCGCGACCAGCATGATTTTTTCAGCCACCTTCTGTAAAGATCGGGTCACGGACGCATTGTTGTACGTTCCAAAGCAGAGATGCAAAAGTTTGCAGCGATAGATAATTCCGACAACCGACCCGACCGGCTGCAGAGCCAGCAGTTTGTCGGGTCCTGGCGCACCTGAACCTGAGTCACATGCAAGTGTCCAGCCGGTACCAGTCTTTGTCAGGGCCAGAATTATTGCTGGCCATGGTGCCAGGATACCGAAAACTATTGTTGCATCTACTCGCGTTTTTGGTCTTCTTGATTAAGCATTCACCATTTTAGTCCCAAATAGACCTGCGAATGATACCGACGTCGACTGGCCACTATGTATTACCCACCACCATTATCCCAGGTCAAAACATTGACTGATGCGTGTGACCTGCCTGACCTCTCGCACACTTGACGATATCATCAACGTATTTTTTGGGCGATGAGCCTATACACACACCCTTATCGCCTGTATTTCACGTCTCATGAACTAGAAATACGATCAGACCCACATCATGACCCCTATGTTGACCCCGGTGACACTCCAGATAATTGCGTTGGAAATAAAACTGCATATGATCATGCAGGCGATGTGCTGGACATCCTTCAGGAGAAAAACGAAACAAAAAATAATGATTGGACAATTTCGAAAGGTGACGGTGCAATACAAGATTATGAGGTCATAGGTAAAATGACCAATAGTGCTCATGGTCATTTGTTTAATGACTCAGGAGATTATTTGCTGTCAAGTGACATGCTGATTTATTCATGTCTAAGCAGCCATTGCATGTATGCACGTTATTGTCTGGTTGAAGTTTCCAGACGTCCCCGAAAATTCCGTGACCTACATCTTGTACTCTGTGATCTAGTGGGTACGTGTGCCGGATGTCGTCCGAATCGGAGGGACCATGATGAACAATTCTAGGCTTCCCTTTGCGAATTGTTCTGTAATAGCTCAACCATCACCGCAGTGCAATGACACGTCAGGTGGCTCATTTGTCCGAAAAACGTGAAAGGCAAAGCCACCCTCGGACCCTCCCGTGCATTGGAACAGGGTTGATTCTTGTGCCAAATTATGCTGCTCCTTTCATCCAGCAGTATTCATAACATGCAGTTTTTTTACTGGGCTTACCGTACCTAGCCTATCCCCCGGACACGCGCTGTAAGAGAGCTGCTGTTGTAAAAGCTGTAAAGCTATTTATCAAAATGCTCGCAATCCAGCGAATTAAGTCCATTGTGTCGTGACCATGGGAACACGCGAGTCATTGATTAAGGGGCCTGAACGAAACAAAACCCTGCCGAGTATAGCGGTTAGCTG